TGTCTGTGAGACTAGTTTTAATCTGAGTTGGGGTGTGTGTCAGACTAGTTTTAATCTAGAGTTGGGGTGTATCAGACTAGTTTTGATCTGAGTTGGGGTGCGTGTCAGACTAGTTTTAATCTAGAGTTGGGGTGTGTGTCAGACTAGTTTTAATCTAGAGTTGGGGTGCGTGTCAGACTAGTTTTAATCTTGGTTTTGGGTGTGTCAGATTAGTTTTAATCTTGGGTTGAATTATAAGCTCTGATAGTGATTTGATGTATAGTTAGAATTGTCACCATCATCAATGGGTCCGTGCGTTGAATGGTTGCTTACTAACCTTCCAGGGTCCAGGCCGCGTATTCTCGAAACGATCTCGGCGCTAGGGTATTAAATTCTAACACAGTTTCAGGAATATCCTATCGAAAGATCGTTTCGAGAATACGTCGCCCGGGCATGGTCTGAGATGACACTTTCACCAATATTTCCCTCACTATATGGTATTGCTTGTCTTTACTAGCCCAATTAGGTGCAGAAAAGTATGACATAGGACACCATTTCATTTGCAATCAGGTACTTGATCCAATTTAGATTATGTTCTCGATCCCTGATAATAACCAGTTTGGCAAGTTATTGACCTGTGCCTTAAACGTTTTGGCTCATTGAAGGGATATAGCCCTTTAAATATCAGAATTTTATGTTTCAGATGGGAATCCTATGTCGTGGATTATTTTTTAATTAATTGAATGAAATGAAACAATGAATTGAAATAACCTTCAATCATTGAAATAAGGCTTTGGATGCTTCATAGATTTTGATTTTCATTATGACAATGACAAATTGAGATTCATCAACCACGTAATTAGATATTTAGAGGTCAAAATACCTTTAAAGGATATTTGAAAATTGCATAATATAACACATGAGATGAGAGAGAAACTTAAGGGATTTGGGTGGTTCACAAGTGAAGTCATCTTAAGGGAGAAGTTTCTTGTCTTGTTGGTAAGTCACTTTGTTATTTTCCAATGACAGAAGTTTCTGTGTAGTCAGCCATTTCATCATTACATTATCTATGCTTTTAGAAAAAAAAAAAACATATTTCAAAATATGTCAAGTTAATCATACTCCTGAACAACATTCATACACCCTCCACCCTTAATCGAAAAATATTTTATATGAGTTATTGACCTTGTTCTTAACTCTTTCAATTTCAGCTCGCAAACACTAAAAAGGTACGATTCTTGTTGGATTTTGACAAAACTTGGCATTATTATTCAGTATCAACTCAGAAAGCTCAAAAGAAGTGTATGGCTGAAGGTTGAATATTTCATACTGGTGATTGTTAATGTACTGCCAAATATTTTTATTCAAAATCAAAGTTGCCTGGTGGGCGTATATCATTGCCTGGCAAGCTGTCTTGGAAATAAAAATATATCGGAAAATGAAAATGAAAATAAATTAACTGTATTTATACATATTATTGTATGTGTGATCTCAAAAAATTCTTTCATTATTTTCTTTAAATTGGAACAATCCTGGCTTTAATGAATTAGCCATGATTTGTATACATGTATATTAGGACCCGTCTGATTGGAATAGAATAGGCCTACATAGAGATTAATGACAAATCGATAAAACTAACTTTTCTATTCATTCAATCACCTTTCTCTTTACAGATCAACGTTTTCTCTCAGTCAAGGTTCCAATCAATCAATTCTTCAATCAAAATCGATCAATCGATATCATGAATAAAGGTAATTTAGGTAAACAAATCCACCTTCTTGAACGAGATCTGGTCAAACGAAAGTTGAAAATTGACATGGAGAGACGCAATATTCTGAAAAGTTTCCAAGCAATCCGTCGGACCTCGGGAAACAGTGATGTGGGACTTCCCCCAGAGGACAGGATGGACAACATCTACGCCCACTCCCGACATTCCAAATCTGGGCTCCGATTGAGCGAAAAGCGGTTGATGGAATGGAAACGACGTGAAAGGGAACTTCGGAGATTTATGCGGGAAATGACGATTGGGTCGGATTTGGAAATCAGCCCTAGATGTTACAGAGTGAATAAGCGAGCAAAGATGATTAACGACTTCGGAAGAGACCCCGAAGAACAATCTGCTAAAGTTTTTAGACTCTATCTGGAAAACGACAAAATTCAGTCGAAATTGGAACCTCGTACAAAAGACATAAAGGCGTTAAGATTGGATAAAAATCATTTCATAAAAATACCCTGCAATGCTTATATTCAGGATGACTTGGCTCAAATAGTGTTACAAAGTGATTCCATTGCGGATGTGGAAAGGTCAACCGGAAGTAGAATGTCAAGGTCAAATTCATCATCAACTTCTTCAAACAGAGTAACACCAGAAGTGATGAACAGGCACAAAACACTGTCGACTGAAAGACCACGTGTATCGTCAAGGATAAGTTTGAATCGGAATAGTAGCAGAATAGGATCAGGTCGACATAAAGTACCTGCAAGCACTTCAGAAGTAACTTCTTCTGGATACGTGGTTTACGATAAAGATGCGTCACAAGCGATCCATAATCAAATACCAATGAAAGAAGAACGAGTCAGTCGGGAAAGAGATAGATCCAGAAACAGGCCTGGAACAACGTCCCAAAGGGATTACTATGACAGGCCAACATCAAGCAGGTCAAGAAAACAAGGGTTGTCTCCTGTAGCAAACTCTGCAGCGAGCCTAGCAACATCACCGGAAGTACCATCAGACCAAAAGCAGAATGAAAGAAGTGTGTCGTCTGGTCGCCCGAAATCTGCAAAACAACAACATGACCGCGTTTTAAGCAGCAAACTTACCGCACACCTCAACAGACAAAAAAGAAGAGGTGACTCTCGTGATGTGGATCAAAGCCGGAGGGAATTTCTTGAAAGGAATGAAAGACCTACATCAGTATCACAAAGGACGCGAAGTCTCAGTCGATCTGGTAACCGATCTTCATTATCAAATGGGTCTATTGAGAACTTTTTGGGATATGAAGACAGAAATCTTACATCTGCATCATCCAGAGCGAAATCGGTGGAGCGATGTTGTGGACGTAACAGTCGGAGCAGCAGATCGCCATCGAGCAGGGCCAGTAACTCTCTTGGATTTATAGCTGATCTTTTCGACTATGAAGACAACTGTAAATCAAGAAAACTCAAGTCAAATCGGTATTCGCCAGATTCAATGAGTTCCACTTTCGATTCAGCCGAGGAAAGAATCACCAGCTCAAGACGCACTCCGAGAAGTTCCGATTCACGCTCAAGAGCTACTTTGTTATGTCCCACAAAGCACGACTGCCTGAAAACATCAAGCATACCAAGGAGCCTCGCGGTTAAGAAGCCCAAGCCGCATGTGCATACCAATCATCTCTACGCTCCTTTTGTTTTGGACTCCACCGACGACGAAAGTGAATCTGAGGACAGTTTTTTCAGTTCAGGAAGCGATGCAGAGGCTGACACTGAAGACGAAGCTGAAGAACAAGGACTTCAAGAACAACAGCCCGGAACTTCAGTTGTGGTTGTTCCTTCAGGCGATCAGAGCAATGTTGGTGCTCAAGAGACTGGCGAGTCTGGAAAGAATTTAGAAGCTGTTTCAAATGCTGAGGAACGCAATAGTCAAGTCAATGTGGTTGGTGCGGAATCTAGTGATACGTCTAAGGACGCCGATGCAGTTTCTAAAGGTCTTGCGCAAAGGTCAACCGTGCAAAAGCAGGTGCGTTTCAGTGATAATGAGGACACCAAACCATGTGAGAGTTACACCCAACCCATTTCAGCTGCTGGTAGAAACTTTTCCCAAACAGTAGCAACACAAGCATCACTAAATACCACGCCTTCTTTCCAAACTACTGCATCTCAAACCATATGGTCAAGCGGCGCCGAATACCATCGCGCGCATGAAAGTGACCCAAGACGACATTCTCTGCCAAAATCTGCAAAATATCCGACCTTAAAACAAACCAAATCAGCTACGGCGGTGATACATCCGACAAGATATTTACGGAAAACGCAATCGGATATATTTGTGGAACATCCACCTAAAATTAACAGCACTCGTCCTTTAACAATCGGGTCCCTTTTCAACGTTTCTATCGCTCTTTCGAAATTAACTCGAAAAAAGTCACTGCGTGATCTGGTAAATCTGAACAATCCAGATTTACGGGAGGCTATGAGACAGGAAAGACTCAAAGATCTAGAGATCAAATCAAAACAACTCTCGGAAGAAGCGAATAATTTCAAACTTTGATGTTCAATCCTGTTGGATGTTTTAAGTTTGAAATGAAATGAGGAATTCTTTAGTTTTAGTTTTAGTTTGCTGAGATATGCAACCTTTCCAATGGTTAGAATTATCTATGTAATGATATTAATTCTAAACAACTTTCTTATATAAATAAATTCAAACTTTGATGTTTTCCTTGGTTGATTTCTTTTAAATGTAGTCCGAAATGAAGTTTTATTTTGATGAAATATCAATCTTATTAAAAATACAATTTAATTTCTTTTTTTTCCTTTGTTATTACTCTTTGCTCTGGAGAGGTCGAATTGGGCCGCTTCGTCTCCATTATTGGCAATAAGAACTATCACACAGACGTTTTTTGTCTTTCGGATCTAATATTAGTGACTACCAACAGCTAAAAAACTTATTTCCTCGGTTGATGACCACCCAAAGTGAAACTACGAAACTAAACACCAGATCTTAAGTCATGACATTAGCGTTTATGTGTGTCTCCATTATCCGGTTTCCTCCTACTGACATGAACAAGAACAAAAACAAAAATGAGAGGTGCGAGAGGTGTCTCTCCGAGGCGATGCCTGAAGATCCCTGGGTTCTGGAATCTACCGCCCCCTAAATACTCCATGGTTACGAGGTATATCGATAGAATTAAGTTTGTAAACCGCTGACAATCCAGAAGAATGCCTTATAAATATTTTGATCATTTACGCACACAATTGCACAAACGCGCGGTTTCTGAAGTAGAGCGTGATTGCGTATAGAATTCTTGATAACACAAATATTGAATTTGAAAACCTGATATTATTTACTGCAGATTTTGGAGCAACGAAGGCTGTGTTCAGAAATATTTTCTGTAAACAAACAATGTATATCTCATAATTAAAAACGGTATTTTTATCTTGAAACTACATTGTTGCGTGTTGAGGGTATATATAGTAATACAATATCATCGTACTTCAAAATTTTATATAAGACAGTTTTATAGATAGATACTTCTAGAATAATTATTACTTTCAATGTTTCAATGTGGTTCTCACACTGTCATCTGGAATATAATGATACTTCTAGAATATTTATTCATATGTATTACCCACCTGAAACACTGACACCATTGTCCCTCTGGATATATTACTTGCCTCTCCGAACAATCAAGTCTGGCTACGTGCATTAATCATTATTATCAATAAGAACAAACTTCTTCAGTTCTTGTTTAAATATACATGTATATAGAGAAGGCTTGTGTTTTACAGTTTGTGGTAAAGAATGAATTCCAAAGTAAGGAAGCTGTATAGGCCTATGCCCATCTAATGTGTCCTTGGCCAGTGCTTTACTTAAGAGTTTTAAGAACCCTTTTCACGTTCTTATCACAAAAGCTGCTAAACAATTAGATTCTATAATAACAGGAACTACACACATCTAACGGATAGGTGTTATGATAAAAATAGAAACGGTTATTGGCCCTGAAAAACATAAGAATCTGAGAACATTTTTTTCATTCTTTAAACCTCCTTGAGTAGGCTATAGTGTAGGTTACGCTGCTGTTCAGTTTAGGCTAGACCGCTTTTGTGGGATGAAAAGCATTGAATTCGTAGCATATTGGATAATTTGTGACTTTATCCGATTATTTTCATTATAAAAAGTCTTAACGAAGAAAGGGAAAAGGCTATAAATGTTAATAGCTTATTGAAGTGACGACTATATTCGAGGAAGAGCCAAACAAATAGACCTTGTCTCGGACTAGCTATGTCACCTAATTCGAGTTACTTCCCTTTAAAGTAAATTTTCTAGCACGAAAATAACAATGGCCGACAAATGAGAAAAGCTGAAACGATTCTATGAAAATGTTGAATTAAAACTAAGAGAAATGTCAAGGTAGCGCGAACTTGATTTGATAAAATGAATGAACAGGACAATGTCCCAGCGAAACATTCAATTCATTGGTTTCGACGCGGACTTCGATTACACGACAACCCAGCATTGATCGAAGCAGTCAAAGGGGCTACAACGTTTCGATGTGTTTACATCTTGGATCCATGGTTTGCCAGTTCTTCCAACATCGGGGTTAACAAATGGAGGTAAGTGCTATATTCCAAACATTTCAATTTTATGTTATTCCAGGTGCGAATTTGACGTTGGGTTATAATGATCCATTCTTTTCCCACTGCCCTTTATTTTTTCATATTATTTATCACTTGGTGACTTTGATTTTTTAAGTCACTGCCATGACTGTGAGAGTCATTTCACATGATTTTCTAAGGATATTATCATTTGCTTGTCATAGGTTGTATAGAATGCAGCTTGTTCATAAAAATTATATGCGAAAAAAATCTGTATTTTAAAGGGACAGGTAGGCCATTTTTTGACAATCATACTTTAGTCTCAGAAACTGAAACTTTTTACCTGAGCTAATCAGTAATAGTGTTCACAGCTCACCATCGAAATTTGAGCCTTCAGATCAATGTGTGTCCAGAATTATCTGAGTTTGAATGTTAAAATGACGACTAGTTAATTTAAGATACTCTGCGATATATAGAAAAGACATATATATAGAAATAATGAGTAAAAATTCCTAGTTTGAAGTATTTTTAAAGGAATTATTTGATTTTCGTACATTTCTGAAGACTATTTACATATCTAGACTAAAATCAACCCACCAAAATCGCACACCTGTCCTTTTAAGCCTGACTCTCTCTGATCATTTAACAATTATTTTCAACCTTTGGGCCCAAAAATATAAGGTATGATTTTACATTAATAAAGACAAAAAAAATTTCCTGTGAAAATGACCCTTATTTCAGAATAAAATTCCCTTCATCATAATTCCATATAATGATTTTTTCATTGTTTGGCAAAACCATCAACCCAAAAATAATCCAAGACTGAGTGCTATTTTGGAGCTGATTTTTCAATCCATACAGAAAAAATTGGCTTAAATGATATTGTAAAATAGGTCACTGTTTCCTAATGGAATCAAATTCAAAAATTTCGAAATAAGTGACGAAAACACTCTTATTCACAAAATGTTAGTTTATTGTACAGTGCTAATTTCAAGGATTGATATAGTTCTTGTTAATTTATTTTAATATATAGATAATGATTACTTATGGTTGATATGAAATAAACAATAACATAAAAGGGATTGTAAAGTGATTTTCAAAATTTTTCTGATGGCATCAATTAGCACCATTCCAATTTTCAAACGGATGTCTGTGGTTCCTGCATTTTACTGAGAATAAGTGTTGAATGACGTCACTTATGACGAAAAGCTGTATGTGATAAAGCATAGTTTGAGATTAGTGATGTCATCAAACATTTAGTTTTACGTGAATTGCAGGAACCACAGATATCTGACTGAATATTGGAATAGCACAAATTGATGCTATTAGTGTTCCCAATGCACATAAACAATTTAGAAAACCTCTTTACTATTCCCTTTAATGTTAATAGCATGGAATATTGTTTGTATTATATCTTTTCATTCATATAAACATTAATATTGGTGAACAGTATTTTAACTCAATGTCAATGTACCACATGTGATATGTACTAGATTAAAATATTCCTGAGGCTAAATTTATCTTTCACAAATCGATTCATCTTAGATCAAATAACATCTTTAATTAAATCCTGAAACAATTCTTTAATGATAAAAAAATAACACGCAGTTATTAATAGCTTGTATGCACCAATGAAATTAAGCCTGATTTAATTCTATTTTACCTGAATAACATGTACTTTCAATTTAATGGGATACATTCGCCATTTGTTCGACCTATCGTATTTTAGTTTCAAAACAACATTTTTTTTAGCTAAGCTTACCAGTATTAGTGTTCACATCTCACATCTGAGCCTTCAATGCCATGTGTGTCCAGAAGTTACCTTATCTCAACATTTATGTCTTTAAGAGAAATTTCTAGTTTGTGTATAATTGAAGGGATTATGCAGTACATTTTTAGTACTTCTGTAGACTATTTACATATATTCAAGAATCAAGACCCAAATCGCCCCCAGAATGCTGATTGTTCCCCTTTTTATTTTATGTTTTATCGGTGGCCCATGATCTGAAACATTTGCTCATATTACCCTTAAAATTATCAAGCAACTTTATTCGATGTCATCGGGCAAAAATGATATACTCACCTGTCCCTGTTATGAGTCAGTGTGGTTCAAAAGGAAAATTGAAATTTCAAACTAAAAGTATGTCAGGTTTAATTCCATTCTATTCTTCTTTATTTAGTGCATATAGGTCAATAATTATTAAACTTGTTTAAATACTATCAATGGCAAGTTTAAAACATTTATAATATGGTAATTAATAACATTTTATCAATCTGATTAAAACAGAGAGGCTTTATTCTTGAAAACTTGAAGAAAATATGTTGTTAAGAAAAAAAGAATCTCATTGGATGATAAAACTTTAAAGGGATTGTAAAGAGGTTTTCAAAATTTTTTGCGTGTATCAGGGATACTCATAGCATCAATTTGCACCTTTTCAATTTTCATAGGTCACTTAGTGCGAAGGGCCTTATGTGGTAAAGCATAATTTGCAGTAAGTGCTGTCATCAAACACATAGTTTTAGTAGAATTGCAGGAACCACTGGCGTCTGATTGAAAATTGGAATGGTGAAAATTGTATTTAACAGTGTCCCCGATACACATACTAATTTTAGAAAACCTCTTTAACAGTTATTTGTTTTTATTGACTGAAGCACTAAAATTATCTTAGTTAAGAAATCATGAAAGAGGCTACTGATCTAGATATTTCATTTTTTTTCCGCAGTTTACTACACATCATATGTTTGGTTATAAAATCACTTTTTGTTCCACTTGTTAAAGAAATCATGTTGAAAGAAAAATCTCAAAATTACGACCTTCAATTTACCTGACCTACATTTAATTACGAAATGCTTAAAGATTTTATTTCGCAAAAGGGGTCTCACATGACTCCAAATGCGATGTAATAATTCTTAATTTGAAGTCTTCTCTTGTTTGTTATAATTAAAGGATGATAAACTAGAATTTTCAGTTTAAATAATTTTAAGATTTTCTTCCTGTTGCATTCTGTCAAAAAATAATTAAAAATAAATAAATAAATTGTATCAATAGAATGGACGGTGCACCATTTTTTTTACCAATCTCACTTAAGTCTCAGGAACAGGAATTTTTTTAATCTCAGTAATGCTTAACTATGGAATTGTAGTTTTGAAACTTTATCAATTTAATCATTGCTGTATAGTACTATTTATCATTATATTTGTTACTTAGTATATAATGACAATATAGTGACAATTAAAGCAGACTACAGTAAACAAACTTGTACCAAGCATGCCGTCCTACAGTTAACATAGTGGCATGAGGCTGTAACCATTTTATCCTCTATGTAAATTACAGTAATCAGAGTAATTGAGTTATTAAAATTACACAACTGAAGTTGAAGTTGTCAAATCTTGCGTAATCTCTAGTACAGAAATATTAGAATGTCTAACAAACTAAAGTAGAAAAATTGGATCACTAGATCCAGACTGTTCTCCTTTGAAGAATATAAATTACCATTGTTGATGTCTAATAATGATAGATAGAGGAATAGCTTGTTGTAAGTTATTAATGGATTAGGTTATATAAGTAACTTCCTATATATACTTCCAACTTTTAGCCAATAGCATTGTAATATATGTTATACTGTATAAAATTCCCACTATCACTGTCTCGCTTCAGTGGTTTAGCTTACTCTGATCAAGCACTTGAAGAATTTAACCTTCATTTCTATAAGTAGCTGTCTGATAAGTATTCTAAACAAGCATTTGTAACAAGTTTAAAGGCCATGTTTCTCCCTTTGGGAAATTCATTTGGGTCTTGGACTAAATAGTCTTCAGAAGTAATAGCAACAGCAGAGAAATCACATAATTCCTTCAAATATTGATTAAAGTACTGCCAAATATTTTTTTTAAAATCAAAGCTGCCATGTGGTGTATTATACCTTGCCTGGCAAGCTATCTGACTATGGTTAGAGTTTTTCAATCACAACTTCATTTCCATGGTTACGTGAAGTAAATATATATTAGTTATATAAATAACTTCCTATATTTATTTCCACCTTTTAATTATTAACTTCGTAATATATATCAACCTGTAGAAATTCTCGTTATTGATTTTCTCGTGCCTATTTAGTAAATTCGCTTTCTCTGCTCATGCGCCGGTCTAATAAAAATTAGACCAGAAAAATTAGACCAGACTTTCGTTCCAAGTTTTATTAGTATTTTTTATATAGCCACTTCAGTTAGGGTCTAAAGACTGGCCTTTGAAACCTTCGTCCAAATAACCTTTTGACCTAAGCCTGCTTCATCCAATCAGATTCCTGCCCTCTGCATTTTGTGAGAGAGTGAAGTGATTGGTTAAAGATGTCATAAATAAGATCAGAAGGTTATTTTGACGAATGTTTAAGAGGCCAGTCTTTAGACCTTAACTAAAGTGGCTATATTAAAAATTAAATGTAATAACGGAAAGAAAGTTTGGTCTATTTTTAATTAGACTGCCTTTATGCTTGAAAGTTCAATTCAATTTACAAAGCTATCTGTCCTGATAAGTATTGTGTATCTGAAATTTGTATCAAGAAGTTGTCTGCAATCATATGACTAAAATATTTCAAGTCAAGTTTAGAAATAATTCTAATTGAGAAACTATTTGAGTGTGTATCCGAATTGAGTTCATTTTGATATTCAAAAGTGTTTGTAATCTTTGTTGTTCAATCAAACATGTATTTGTGGGTCAAGAGCATCAATATAGAATGTATCTTCAAAAAGATTTCCATAAGGCAGACAATACATAGGAATGAAGATTCACTTTTCACACCTCGGGTTTTAACTGTTCACACCTCATGATTCACTCCTCATTTCACATGAAGGGAAATGTTGGTTACCATGCTTCTTGACCAGTTCAATTCACGAATAATAAACATGTTCATTTCTCGAATCATGTATGTCATTGGTGAGTGAGCTCAAGAAATGAAGTGAACAGATTTAAATTATAAAATGAATGCCTATGTAAGCAGACCATTGAAAACAGCTTGCTTATGGCTTGGGACATTAATAACTCGTGACACATGAAAAGTGAATCGTTCATTCCTATGTAACGTCTGTCTAAGGGTTCATATTTGGCGTGAAATTTTACTTTTTAGAAAGTATCTTATGAAGATGTCATCATAATTTTAACCTTGAATTAGCAGGTTTTTTTTTATATGATCTATTCAATTATTTTGTATCTTTATTATTGATTATATTTTCCCTGTTATATTTTTCTAAAAACAGAAGCTATAGTTAATTTGAAATAGTCGTCTAGTTTTTTTCTATGAAAAATAACAATTTTATTTCTGGAATTTTTTACACAGTATGTTTTTCATTGAATAGCATATGCCATTTAAAACATAGAAGGAAGAAAGAAACAACTTTATTTTACAAGGAACTTAGGTTACTTAGGTTACTTTGGTTCACAGTCAAGGCTACTTTCTAACAGCTTATCCTTGGCTAAACCTCTCGGCATTGATCTTTCAGAGATTATTTCTAGCCATTTACAGCTGGATTGAAGGTGAAGATCAGGTCATCAGACTTTCTTACATGGATAACCTTGAATGAATCAGAGTATGTAAAACTTCATTTCATTTCATTCTGTTCTTTTGATTTATTTCAGATTTTTATTGGAATGTCTGGAAGATCTTGACAGCAGTTTAAGGAAACTTAACTCTAGATTATATGTTGTTCTTGGTCAACCAGTAGCTGTTTTTCCTTCCTTGTTCAAGGTCAGAGTTATTTTTTTTTATTTTGAGGGGATATTTCATTTTCTTTACAAAACCTATCTCTCTGGTTGTGGCAGTAAAATAGCTTAGTGGCGAGTTCAATTAGATATTTTGGGTACCTCAGTTGGTAGTTGGATTACAGCCTGATAAATCTGGCTACCTTTTCCTCGTCATGATATACAGAGGTGATATCCTGTTTAGGGCCAGACATATTTCACTTTTTATATGAGTTGCTCTGACCTACTTTTGTATAGACAATCATCTGTCATTGCCCTAAATTTGTCATCAACATCCACCAATGTTTTTGGACTAAGTGTTACGAATTAAGTGATATTGTTTTGAAATTTTAGAAGTGGAAGATAACAGCGTTAACATTTGAAGAAGAGACCGAACCTCATGGACGTAATCGAGATAACGTTATAACATCACTAGCTCACGATGCTGGAGTGGAAGTTATTAAGAAAACTTCACATACATTATATAATCTTCAAGAGTAAGTTTACTTGTAGAATTATTAATTGGGAACAATTGCTCGGTAAAATGTCCATCCTGTTCTGTTTGTTTAGGGAGGTTTTTGTATGTTTTTGCCTCAAAATATGTTTCAGAATGCACCAATCATTTCTATTTCATCTGTCCGTCTGTCCACAATTGTTTGTGGGCACGATAGAGAGCTGGTTTCTTGATGGATTTTGACGAACTTGGTGTGAGTGTTTGTTATTACCCAAGGATGAACCCTATTGAAAATCAGAAGAATCGCAAAAATATTAACTATGAGTTATTGCCCTTGTTCTTGAATTGTTTGTTTAGAGAGGTTACTGTATGTTTTTTGCTTCAAAATATGTGTCAGAATGCACCAAATCATTTCTATTTTTGAACATATTTCTTTAGGAGACAACTCCATGGGAGACAGAGTGGTCACATTTTGAATCTGAAATTTGACAGTTGTCCCCCCATTGATTCAGTCGGTACCCTATTTATATTATACCTCTAGTCTCTAGAGGCTGGCGCCTAACTAACACTGTTATTTCTTTGCTGTTCGTGCTGTTTCAATAAATTGTAATTTTTATATTTTCAGCATTATACAAATTAATAGTGGAAAGCCTCCATTGACCTTTCTGCGGTTCCAGTCCCTGCTGTGTGTGATGGGGCCACCGAATGGAACTGTTAATAAACTAACAGAGAAATTGATCAATAACTGTGAAAATACAGTACAGAGTGATCACGATGAAAAATATGGTGTACCAGATCTCGCTACATTGGGTACGTTCAAATATATTTTTCTGGGTGGTGGTTCCAATCACACAAAATAGTAGGATAAAAACCAGAGTAAAATTTCAATCATGAAATCCTTTGAGGCACTCTGAACCACTTCTTGGCACTTGGCATGAAGGGCAAGCAACTCTACCGGACTATAAGGGAAGTAACTGGACTAATCCAGACCACAATATCACAATAATTTTCTCAATTTTGTATTGTGCAGCAAAGATATTTGATTCCAAACATAAACCAGACTAGTCTATTTTATTTTTAGGTAATTTGAATTGTTTAGAAACTATACAAGTCAAACTTATATTGATTTGAATACTACTTAAATTACCTAAGAACATAATGGACTGATTGTGTTTGGATTTGAACTGATTACCGGGATGTGCACATACAAGTGTAATCTACCGATAATGTCGGGTTTCTACTGCTCTACTGACGGGATACCCAATTCTACCGATTTTTTTTTTCCTGACCAAATTTTCATGGGACCTACCGTTTTCAATGTCCAAATTCTCTACCATAAATCAACCAAAATATCTATCATTACTTGTATCTTGATTACGGGTAACAAGCATTAATCTCACATCATGTGCACATATATCAAATTTCTTTTGTTGTGTATATATTTCATCTGATACAATGCTAGAAGAAGTAACTTTAGACAGAGCATTTTCATCATTCTGAAACTGTGAATCTGTGACAATGTTTATCAATATAGTGTCTCTTATGGAGAGTTAACATTAATAATATGAAGCTTTGTGTGTTTCAAGCTGTACAAGTTAAGTGTTCTAACTTGTTGGAAATTTAGTTTGGCTAAATTTCCCTTGTTGCACACTGCATGGCATAGACCATTGTAAATATTGTGTAAAATATTTTTATCTGTTGACAGGTTTTGACTGTGCTAATCTAAATAAGATAGCCTTCAAAGGAGGTGAAACAGAGGCTTTATGTCGACTTCATCGGCATCTGGAACGAAAGGTAAGAAAATTTCATTTTTTAAACTCCCTTATAGTAATATGGTGGTCATAGTTTTTGTCAGATTGTAAATGTATGACGTAGTGTTATATCCACAAGATTAGTCAAATAAGATGTTTTGGGTCTTTCAGGGTTACAGCCCTTGATATATCTAAAATATGTCAAATGTAGCTTGTGAAAGCGATAAAGGCCACAGAAAATGATTTATCCTTATGTACATAAGTTTTTTTTCATTTTAACAGGCATGGATTGCAAGTTTTGAAACACCGAAAATGACACCTGAATCTTTAATGCCAAGTCAGACAACTCTGAGTCCGTATTTACGGTTTGGTTGTCTGTCAGCTCGGGAGTTTTATTGGCAGCTTAGAGATTTATTTAAAAAGGTAGGTCACTAGGTCAAGATGGTATCTAGGTCAATGGGTCACTACTTAAAGGTCATTAGGACAGTAGATACGAAACCTTTAATGATCTCCATAGTTAACGGCCAATACTAGGTCAATATGTCACTATTTAAATACTGTTAGTAGGTCACTAGACTTGACAAGTTCATTGAAGACTATATTCATGAGACTTTTTTAATGGCTGAATCCAATCAGATGAGCATAATTAACTCTTCCTAGACCACAAATAAATTTTCCTTGTAGGATTCAGAAAACTAGTATATCAAAGTAGAAAAATTCAGACAGACAACAAATAAATTGTCTACTATTCTAATTACTACTATTTCCAATAGAAACAGACCACAAAGAAATTGCCCATGTAGGATTCAGATACCAACTATCTCATATAACTTCCCAATTTGTTGATATATTTCAGTTAAACCGAGGTGAAGAGCCCTCCCTAGCGATGTATGGTCAGTTACTATGGAGAGAGTTTTTCTATCTGGTTGCCAGGGACAACATGAAGTTTGATCAAATGCAGGGCAACCCAATTTGTGTTCAGATTCCATGGGATAAAAATTCTACAGCGTTAGCCAAATGGACAGCGGTAAATATAAATGATATGATTATATTTCATAGTTCCCCATTGTTTATGTTGAAGTCGTAATCTTGTAAATGGAGAAATACATGGTTTCTTTTTGGCAGTAATGCAGATTGTTTAGGTCAACAATCCATGTTGAAGTTTCCAGTACAGTCAATGATTGTGTTTCTCATTTTCATAAGTCAAATCAGGAGCAAAACTGTAGGATGTAAAACTTTGTTTTATTTGATTTTCTATAATCTGAAGCATGACAATAACATGACAAGCAAATGTGAATGCTCCCACAATGTGTATCTGTTTTAACAAACTTGTGGAATATAGTTCTTTGATTAGATAAATGCACAGCTGGGGTTTTGCTCTCTAATTTCCCTCACAGCTCACTGCATAGTGTTCATCTCTATAACTTCAATTAGGTGCAGAAGAGTAGGATATAGAACTCATTTTATTTCACAGTTAACTCTTTACTTCAAGAAAGTGTAACTGAGGCCTGTGTGTTATAGGTCATGCATGTTAAAGATCCCTCTACAGTTGAAGATTGAAAAAGAGTAGGTTGATGTCACTGTCCCTGGCAACATTTCCCTCATTGCACACTACATTGTGTAGTTCTCACTAGAGCTAAAACAGAAAAGGTAGAACTCACTTAATTTCACTCTCACTCTAAACCCTGTCCTGATTATATTCCAATGTGTGAAATATTTTCAGGGTATGACAGGATATCCCTGGATTGATGCCATCATGACTCAGTTAAAGAAAGACGGATGGATTCATCATCTAGCACGACATGCCGTGGCTTGTTTCTTAACACGAGGTGATCTCTGGTTATCATGGGAAGAAGGAATGAAGGTAGGTAACTCTGTAGTACCGTATACAGTATACTCTGCGTAATCCGACATACACTGGGACTGTAAAACAATGTCGGATTAGCGAGAGTGTCAGAGTACTAAGTGATTAAGATAAGTCTCAGGACCACTGATTTGTGTCGTAATTCGAAATACACAGAGTGTCAGAGTACTCAGAGTTTTTTAAACTAGCCTAAAAAGGAAATCAATCGGGACCAGAAAATAATGTCGGATTACGCAGAATATCAGAATACTCAGATGTCGGATATCACAGAGTACATTGTATTTGGACACAGTTTTTGACAGAGACAAGAGACAGATATACTAGAGGGAAAGAAGTGGTGTATAGTATATATGCTTATAAAAATACCACATAAACATTATTATGTGGATTCTGTTAGGTGAATCAGTGATAGTGTTCACAGCTCACCCTTGAAATTTAGGGTTGCCCTTCAAATCCACGTGTGTCCAGAATTATCCACGTTTGAAGTTAAAAAGTCATATTTTTTCGAGCCACTGCCATATATAGAAAAGACATCTATAGAAATTCCCAGTTTGAGGTATTTTTGAAGGAATTATGTGATTTTCGTACATTTCTAGTACTTCTGAAGACTATTTACATATATTCTAGAGTTAAATAAACACCTAAAATCACACACCTTTCCCTTTAATAATAGGTTAGTCTAATTGGATTATAATGTTCATCTTTATAGTTAATTGTTTCAAGAATAAGGCCCTTCAAATATCACATTGTCAGCTGTGCAAACTTTTCTTTTATCCCCATTCAGATATTTGATGAGTATTTACTGGATGCTGATTGGAGTATAAATGCAGGAATGTGGATGTGGCTATCATGTAGCAGTTTTTTTGCTCAATTTTTTCACTGTTATTGTCCAGTTAATTTTGGTAAACGAGTTGACCCTTCTGGTGATTTTATAAGGTTCGTATTATTTATTTTATTTGATTCTGTTCAGTAGTTTCCAAACACCTACCAAAAAGCAGAACGAAATAGTTTTGCTGTAAAAAAATTAACGGCTGAATTTTTAAAATAAAACTTGAATAGTTATCATATTTTTGAGCAAAAATATTTTTGGACCTAAAAAAAAATAAGAACAGAATGCCCCTTTAAACCTAGTCCCCAGATCAGTAAATAAATAAGACTTTGGTTCACCTTATCTAAATACTTCATTTAAGATGGTGAATTTGAACCAGTAAAAATACTATTCTATCTAAGAGGTATTGCATGTACTCATTATGTAAAGCAAAACGTAAAAAACATGACGATGTGAAAGCTTATTAATAGACACTCCCTTGACATCGTGAATATCTTTTATCTCTGGTTCCCAATACAAGATTTACCGACCAAAATAAAATTAAAACTGTGACATTTAAGAGGCATCATTACATATAGAGGCATCCAGTCGTTCAGAAGAGACCGGCATCAAAAGCTTGTTTGCTTCATAATCATTTATTATTACAGGCATTATCTACCAATATTACGGGCCTACCCACAAGAATATATCTTTGAACCCTGGACAGCCCCTGAGTCAGTCCAGAAATCAGCTAAATGTATTATTGGTAAAGATTATCCCCTACCCATGGTCAATCATCATGAAGTCAGTCAGTTAAACGCTGATCGTCTACGACAAGTTTATCATCACCTTACACTCAAAGTTTCAAGTAAGTTTAAGAAAACTGATAGATATTAGATTTGAACCACATCTAGAAGCTGAGAGCACATATAACAAGAAACACAAGGGAATAAACACATTAATATACCTATTTCAGTTTAGTAATTTCAAATATATTCATACAAAATATTTACAAAATACATTACAGTCTAATGAGTTGTTATAACTCCCGAAACGATCTTAAAAACATAACAATATGGCAATGAAAGAAGACAAACTGGCTGATCCTCCTCAACATTGATTCGCGGTATTTTCGAAAAGGAAAAAAACTCAAAATTTATTTCACTGTGTATAGTACGTACCTCTTCTGTAAGGGGCCCATTTTGGGGTAAAAAACTGTGCATTATATTCGGAAATATACGGTATACAGTGGAGCCTCGTTTATGAAGCGTTATGTACTTTGTTAATAAACAAGTGTTTTATACAGTAATAAATTTCCTTGTGTTTTTTTAGTTATCACTAATAGATACCACAGCTTTAAGTGACCTTCTAGCATGTAAAACATTTGATTTAAACTTCTTTTTCAGATTCCGCTCTCAAGGAATATCAGGCAGTGTTTTTACAGCAGCATATCAAAAACAAGTTACGTCCCCTTTCCTGCCTTATACAGCAAAAATAACCCTCAGGGTAGTCACTTCAAGGAACCATAATCTAGTGATAATACAGACCACAATGAAATTACTTTTATTATCATAATATTATTATTCTTGTGTAGAAAAGATATCAAACACCAGCATAAATACTCCTTGTGAAAAAGGACACATAACACAAATGTGTATTGTAACTGTTTTGAATCAGCATATAACTGAGTGTAGGTAACTCTGTGAAAGTTAGACTACAGACTGCAGTAAACTTTTTGTGAACTATGGACTACATGAGTAGTGTATTGATTATAACATCAAATTGTTTTATTCCCAACTTATTCAGCTTAAATACGCAATGTGAAATATAGACAACAGAAAACTCCTCATGAAATATGGCCTACAGACTACAGTAATCTCTTTGTCAGAATTGGACTATATTTATAAACTTGTATTGATCAGTCAGTGCAGATTATTGTATCCATGATATTTACATTCTAGAATGGGAGTGAAGCAGTCTGATTGGTCAAATGTTATGAAGAGTCAATCAGTGATCTTGTGTATATATTTAAACATATTGTGTTCTGTTTTCTTCATTCTGTGGATCAACTCTGATGAAGTGGACTCCAGACTTGAATTATTCATAATTATTTTCATATTTATTAAGTGTATAGTTTTCTTTATACTTTTTCAATTGAATGAGATGGCCTCAGGGCCACAAATCTTTTTCATACTTACCTGAGAGTTTTCTCAAAGTTTAAACACATATTACAAGTGCATAATGATTGTATCAATGAAAAAAACAACAACAATCTATTCCTTTATTTCACACTGTTTCTGGTATTATCACAGTAATCTTCAAATTTTACCTTTTCTTGATGCAAGGGTCATAATGAATTTGAGTAAAAACTAAGCTGAACATGAGAAATTTTTTGTGACCCTGGGGCTAGATTAATTGAACTGTAACTTTTCTGGTATGTTTTGTTAAACTGTCAGAGAATCAAACTAATAGTGACTTACTACAGACTACAATTACATTATAATTATCTCCCTTCAACCACATATATATTTTTAGTCAGGACATGTTAGAATATCTAGTTTTATTTTCATGTTGGGTGTTACAGGAAGATACACTCCAATAGAAGCACTGGCCGAGGTCACAAGTAAAAGACATGTCTGAAAGACTTGAGCCCTCAGATTCATCAAATCTTCAGCTCTGGAACAAAACTGTCCAAATTAACATCTGATTTTGTTTATTTGTTTGATATTTGTTATTGTGTGTAAATTGTAACCTCTTGACCTCAAAATTTAGGAATTGTTAAGTTATTAACTATTCAGATAGCTGAAATTGAGCTCTATCAGCTGGTAAAGTAAATATTGAGATGACTATACAGATAGCTGATATTGAGCTCTATCAGCTGGTAAAGCAAATATTTAGATGACTATATATATAGCTGAAATTGAACTCTTATCAGCTGGTATAGTAAATATTTAGACGACTATACAGATAGCTGATATTGAGCTCTATCAGCTGGTATAGTAAATATTTAGACGACTATATATATAGCTGAAATTGAACTCTTATCAGCTGGTATAGTAAATATTTAGACGACTATACAGATAGCTGATATTGAGCTCTATCAGCTTGTAAAGCAAATATTTAGACGACTATAGATATATCTGAAATTGTGCCCTATCAGCTGATAAAGCAAATATTTAGACAACTATACAGATTAGCTGAAATTGAACTCTATCAGCTGGTAAAGTAAATATTTAGACGACTATACAGATAGCTGATATTGAGCTCTATCAGCTGGTATAGTAAATATTTAGACGACTATACAGATAGCTGATATTGAGCTCTATCAGCTGGTATAGTAAATATTTAGACGACTATACAGATAGCTGATATTGAGCTCTATCAGCTGGTAAAGCAAATATTTAGATGACTATATATATAGCTGAAATTGTGCCCTATCAGCTGATAAAGCAAATATTTAGCAGCTATACAGAAAGCTAAAATTGAGCTCTATCAGCTGCAAAATCGAAGATTTTCCCGACTTTTTCCCTTTTATTTCCTGAATTAAATACTCAGTACCTTCTTATAATTAAATTAACCTATGATAAAGGATATTTATTTTATGTACATTCAAAAGTGTACAAGAGAAAAGATGTACACTTCTGTACTTTTGAGTTAAGCATAATAAGTTTCCTATTAAAAAATATTTCCCTCATTGAACACTGCAGGTGAAGAACAGTGATCTCCATGTACCCAATTCCATTTCATATCATTCCATTTTCATACCATTATATTAGCCTATTTTAATTCACTATTTGGTTATTTATATTTATTCGTGTATTTATCTGTGCTGTGATAAGTAAGAGGTTTTTATCCGCCATTAAATCAAAATAACTATGGCCAGTTTCAAATGTTTTATAATTGAGTTCTTAAACGCCGTAAGCCCTTTCTGGACAATTCCACTAAACCTCCATCTAATGATGTCTAGAAACGCCATTTGCCAGTGTTGATTTTAAACTTCAAAAAAAATGAGAAAGAAGGACCAGACTCAAAAGTATGAATAATTTAAGGGTGTCCTTGGTTATATCTATGTATATTTTAAACAGAAATTTATTGCTCAACTAGTGAAACGTATCTTGCTGTTTAAGTTTGCAACATATCTGTTGTGTTTTAAACAAATTTAATCGTAATGTTTTAATGTAAAAGTGACCTTATAATCGGTAAAGCTTTTTTTTAAAAGTATTACAGGAACCACAGACATCAGACGGAAATTATGATGGGTAATACAGAAACTTGAAGTTCGTCTGATCCATTAACAAAGGCAAGATAACCTTGAAGTGCCTATAAGTGGATAATTTGCCTATAACTGTTCGATCATGATGGAGATATAGATTTATCTAGATTTATCTCAGCGTAAGAAAGGCTGCGCGCTCTATTATCAATTATACAGTATATATTTAACTTATTTACTTGTCATAATAATTTTTAACTGTCATAATTCTGTGTATATATATTTATATTATATTTATTGTTTGTTATTGTTGAAATATATTGTTTTTTGTCTTATATATACATTCATAAATATTGATTATTTTTAATAGTAAGTTTTTTTTTCCATCTGATGTCATCTTAGGAGACCAGAATTGTTTTGGTGTATTACTTTAATTTAAAATGGCAACAACTGACTGGTTGTCAACACTCCTGAAACATGTATATCCGCATGCTTTCAACAAGATTATGTAAAATTACCTATGTATGAAATATTAGGCATGGGGACTTAGTAGTGGCCCCAGTGGGAGTACAGGGGAGGCATTTGCCACACCCTATAAAGGGTTTGCACCCATAATTGTACCCCCACTTTATGATTTTCCAAAATATGTCACAAATCATTTCAATTTCAATACTTTTCTTGGGAGAATACTTTCAGATTCTTTGCTAGAGATATGAGAGTATGACACCTCCTCAGTGTTGCCACAGTTTGAATTTCAGCCATGACAGTTGTCCCCGCCCCCCTCATTTTGTCAGTCTGCCCCCTACTTGTACCCCCAGTGACGAGAGACTGATGCCGCCACTGTGTGGACTCTCTAAAATATATGCTAAACCGATCTCAAAGCAGCATTATATGTTCTGAAGGTTGAGTCCAGCTATCCTGGAATGCCAATGTCAGATTGGCAACAAATATCATTTCAGTTTATTTTTAGTAAGAGAAAAGAAGAAATACTGTTGGTCTGATAGCAATAGATTATAAGAAGTAAAAAATAAATACTGTTCATATGAACATGTCAGGTAGCATTGGTCAATAAGTATGAAAAAGATAGCTTGCGTTGCAAGTAACATACGCCCACTGGCAGCTGTCAGAAATAATAAAACAGTCTTTAGTGACTTAAGTACGAATTTTCTCATATTGAAGAAATTATTATGCTGAATAATTCCACAAAATTTTTTAAAATCAATATCAATAACCCAAATACAACAAACAATTAAATCACACAGCTCTAATCAAGGGCAAAAAACAACTTTTGACGCGTGTTTACAAAGTCAATGGCAATAACTCAAAAAATGATCATCAAAAATATCTCTTGTTAGAACTTGTCCGAGATCTTATCAATTCCAATGATCACACCAAGTTTCATCAGAATAGGTTGAAAACTGTAGCTTCTATTGTGCTCACAAACAAATTTTGACGCGTTTTTCCTAAGTTAATGGCATTAACTCAAAAACCGTTCATCGAAAATGCGTCAAGTTAGAACTTGTCTGAGATCTTATGAATTCCAATGATCACACCAAGTTTCATCAGAATCAGATGAAAACTGTAGCTTCAACCCTGCTCACGAACAATTTTTAACAAATTTTGACGTGTTTTTACAAAGTCAAGGGCAATAACTCAAAAACTGTTCTTCGAAAATGTGTCAAGTTAG